CAATGGAGGATGAGAAGAATCGATGCTGGTTTTCATCTAAACAGAAAATATAAACCATGTGTTACAACTACTAACACTCTAACTTTAACATGACATCTCAAGCAAAATACTACAAGGTCTAAAGAACAAAGGAACTCACATTTACACTCAGACAAACATCAGGAGAGAGTCCAGGCTGCTGCAGGTTGGTCAAAGGGTTCACACAAGGATTCAATCTCTCTTTAAGCCCTACAGTCTCACCCTGACACAGCTCCTCCTCCTCCGTCCTTATCACAACCACAAGATATAAAACCCGCTTTTTTTGACTGTCGTGTCACTGACAATGTTTAATCTCTGTAATAGAAAATCTAAATTGAACTTAAAGTTACTATGTCCTAATACTTCTACAGTGTACCAGGTATTTAATATTGAAATAACCTGGAATTGACAGAGTAAAAAAAAGAAATTACTGGGATCATGTTCATACAATGAATAAATAAACAAATAATTAAACCGAGGTGATAATCCACACAAGAGTCAATTAAAAACTAAAAATATGAAGCATTGACATTGACACAACCCCAACCCCTGCGGCCAATCGTTGTCGTGGAAAAATATATAAGATATATATATTGTAAACTGTGTTTGTACACTCCCCCGAAGTTACTTTATACACCATATTCACTAGACAGTGGATGTATTTTGCAAGTTACAGAGTGCGTCCTGAGGAATCTTTGAAGCAGTTGCTCAGCCGTTAAAATTCTTCTGTTCGTAGCACCAACAGATGGGAAGGCTGCCTGGTATATGAAATAAGTTTTCTTATTTTGTGAGTCGTGTGAAGCCTGTATAACAAAAGTCAAAAGATCACAAAGTTTGTTAAAAAACCGTGTGTGTGTAGTATCACTGTAAAACCGACTCGTACTCAGCTCGAGTACAGTTGTAGTTAGGTGTATAGCGTCGATGGTGACAGCTAGTCAGTGGTGGCTACTGACTCTGGCCACTTGGAAGGTTCACAGAGAGTGCAAAGCAGTTTTAGAAATAGGTTGCCTCTGATGATGTTAGAGCGTGTTCACTGTTATGAATCGTGCTACAGGCGCTGCACTGACCGGGCAGCCCATGTTTGCATCCACATTTGAGAGTTATTCGTGAGCGATTAGAAGACCAGTCGGGATGTCACTTTCGAGTCAGGCTGATGTTGGTTCGAGTGCAGTACCCACTCCTAAAGACTATTATACCGTCATTAAAGGGTGTTCAGCACAGTCAACTTGTTTACAACGAGCTAAACAAAAAAGTGTTAGGATGAGAACAACTTCTATATGAAAAAAAAAAATTTGTTGTCATGCTCAGGGAGCAGCAGTGCTATTTATAGCAGCTTAATATACTGTGGGGTAGGAATCATAAAGAAACAGTAGGTTACGTAAACAGAGAATCGTACAAACATATTAATAAGCTAATAACTCGCATTTTACCATACAAGATGTGAGAAAAGATCCTGCGAACAGTTATAAAGATCATTCATTTTTTAACAGCAGCAGCAAGTTGTGTTTCAGGAGTTGAACAGATGTGATCAAATAGCTCATACATGGCAGTAGTTGTATTTCATGTGTTTGTTTAAAACTTATATTCATTTGATTAAATCTTAGTGATGCAAGCAAAACTAATTCAGGTTTCTACTTAGTTTGTTTTCTAACAACTTCGATGTTTGCTAGAGGAAAGGAAACGCTTGAAGAACTTTTTCCATTTGATTCCTACTTAGATTTCTTTCATTCTCCTTTAAAATAACAATAGGGAGTGTTGAAGAAATTCACTCAAGTCCTTAGTTTCAAGTTTGCTGTAGTAAAGTAAGTTTATTGGAATCCCAGGATACGGTGAGCCAACTGACACAGAGCAGGTCTGAGGCAGTAGACTGACCCAGAGTGTAGGCAGGGAGACAGTTATACAGTTCAAAACAATGGGATGGACAACTGTATTTTTCATATACCTGGGGTTACAGATATTTGGTCAGACAGGAAAGAAAATTAGAAAACAAAGAGGTGATCTGTGTGGTCTAGCAGTGTAACACCAAGGTTCAAGTTATCAAGGGGTAGGAGGGCTCTTAGTTTGGCATAGATATCCACAGGTAGGGCAGCGCGGGGGCCCCTAGATCGAATCAGCCAATGTGCACAGGTAAGTATGTTGTAAGACATGAGCGTTGGTGATGTAAGAGTGAAGAAGGGGTGTTCTCCTTGATGAAAGGATCAAGGGGCCAACTCAGTAGGGTTATAGAGTTGTCCGTAGGTGTCAGCAAGTCTACACTGAATACACTGAAGATTGTGTATATTCTTCCTGAGGAGTTAACACAGTTAAACTTGTTATAATACAACTAAAAGAGTCTAGAAACATTTAGTATAATGTGTCATTAATTCTTTTGAGGGTGTAACTCCAGTTGTGGTTTCTTACAGTAATACATGTTAGTTGATTGTTATAGAAAAGTCCTGACAGAGACGGGCTTGTTGTCTTCTGTGCTACAATTACTGCAGCATGACCAGGCTGAACTAAGATTTTATAATCTTCCATACAGTCCTACATCACAGCTGAAGGAGGGAGACACAGCATCAGTTTCCAAGTTCAGGTGTGTTGAATTAATGAACAGGACAGCAGAACTGGACCCATAATTCCGGACGGCACCTGAAGCAGCCTACAACTAATGAATCAGTTTCCAGAGGTTTCATTGATTTTTCCATCAGCTGTGACAGGAACAAAGAAATGTTTACAACAAACAGGAAACGAACAACAGGCTACACGTTTTCTTGTGTTGAAATAAATCTGCAATCATTCGTCATTAAGCTTCATCTTCCACGAAGCGTTTAATGACGTTACAGTCATTTTAATAAGGTTTTACTGCCTCATAACGTCTTTCCTCCAGAGGTTTGAGGGGGATTGTTGTTGAAAATTAGATGATAAAACGTAGATGAGATTAGTTTGTGTGGATCGGACATTTCCCCTGGAACTGGGCCGTGACCTCAGGGTCACAGTCAAAATGGAGACTTTAGTCTCGTTTCAACTTGTTTAGTTTCCTACCTTGGTGACACGGTCACGTGTCGTGTACTCCTCTGCTCCACAGCATAATCCTGGTACGTTAGCTTCATCTTTTAACGTACTTAAGAATTGGAAAAGAAAAATGCCTCTTTTTTGAACAAATTTTATTCCATTCATTTCTTTTTAAGGAACAAACACCTGTAAATACGTAACATGTTCAAGTTGCACATGATAAACATTTAGCAAAGGTATATACAGAGGATACACATAATACACATAATAAAAACACAGATCTAAATAAAGTGCATAAAGATTTTAAAGATTTCAAAATAGCAGAAGCTTTTTGTGTTTAATTGAACTCTAAAAACAATAAAACATGGTTTCTTACTGTAAATTTACATTAATGCATATGGAATTAAACCTTTATAATAAGATTTATCATGTACATGTTTGTCAGTGTATTATTTTCCAGGAAACAAAACAAAACATTCTTCTACAGAAAAATAAAACTTTCATCAATATTTTCATTAATGAAAGTTCAGAGGTTTCGTCAGAAATTCTCTACAATTGGGCAATAAATAAAATTAAACAGTTTCTGGATGTCCATAACAGAAGCTAGAATTCACATCAGGGTCACTCTTAACTTTTTCTTTCTTTTTTGTCATAATTTTTAGCTGGTTAAAAATCATGAATAAGTTTAAAAGAAATGACCTTTTATTAGTAATTAAGTAACGATCAAGTTTTCTTCCACACCATATCATTTACAAATTGATCCAAATATGAAATAATGTAGTAATTTATATGTAGTAATGATTTAAAGTCAGACTAAACCATTTGGCAACAAACCTCCCTCCCATCACACCTGCTGAGGACAACACACACACACACACACACACACACACACACACACACACACACACACACACACACACACACACACACAGGAGGTGTGAAAACAATTAATCATACTGATAAATGACTAAATGGCATTTCAAAGTGTCAGATGAATTCTTACTTTAATTTGAGACGGTATCTAAACTATTATGTGGAGATTTGCTCTCTGTGTGTCTGTTTTCTAGTTTCTATACATTTAAACTAAAACACGTCACTGCCTGAAGCTGCATCAACCAGCAGCTCTTTGACCCATGGCATATGTGGGTTTTTATTAGCCTGCAAACTTCTTCTAAATCAAAGAGACTTTACTTTTGCTGGTTCCATGTATTTACAGGCAACTGACAGACTTTACTGTCTTATTAAGAGACTATATTACTTATTACTGTCTTAGTAAAAATAGGAATACAGAGGTAGGCTACGTTTGTTCATATAAACCTGTAGAGTTAAAAAATATATATATATTGGTTACAGGAACCTGTATATACAGTATGTACACTGAGCGTGAGAAACAGAGGACATGAAGATACAAACCAAGTGTCTGTAGCAACGAGCCGCTCAGCCGTTGAAAAGCAGATGATCAACTATCATGAGAGATCATGATCCAGACTGTAGACCAGCAGCTCTGTAGAGGGTGGCCTCAGTTTCTTTGAGGTTTTATTTCTGTACCCTGCAAAGACAATGTGCCAGCACCCAACTGGATTATAACTGGGGTCTAGAGCACATTTACTCTGCAGTGAACTGACACTGCACATCTGATTATCTCCAGGTCGTTTTCTTATGCTGAGGAGAGAAATACATTCACTTAAAGCAGAAACCTCTTGGACAGTTGTTCAGGCTTCACAGAGTGATGTCAGGAGGGACTGTAAGGAAGAATATACTCCTGTCTTACCTTCTTGTCATAATGGTGCCATTGGTTCTGCTTGTTCTCCGTGATCCTTTCTCTTTGGTGAAATATTAATGAACAGATGAAATAATTGAATTAGTGAGATAAACCAAGTATTGTCATTTACCACAGTGCATATTTACATACACACAGTTTCACAAAGAGAGTAACAAACATACCTCTGTGGGAGGGCTTCCACATCTTATTAGAGCTATAATAAAAAACAAATGAAAAACATCTTAATCAACAACGTCATGACTTGGCAGAAAGTATCATCATCCATTAAACCATGATAACATTTTCTTTGACTGCACACAGATCTTACCTGCTAGAAGTTTTCTTATCTTCCAGATGAGAACTAAAACAAAGCCAATCACTAATAAAAGCAATACAGCGCTGATCACAATTATTATCACGTTTAAACTGTTTCTTTCTCCACATTCAGCATCACTTGCAGCAGTTCCTGGTTTTATCAGCTGAAGGTTTTCTGATTTACATCTGGAACGATAGAGGGACGTTTTTACTTTATAAATGTATAGAAACTTCAAATTCACTGCAGTTGTGAGAAACCAGATGTGTCTATGTCTGATGTGAAGCTTCACTTACTGTGTGTGTGGTTGACAAGATGTAAATGTCCCATCTGAAAATGTTCCTTCTCTGCAGCCAGAGCACACAGTGTCTTTGGAGGCTGTTCCTGTACAAGAACAAATGATACACATGTTGAAAGTAGTTACTAGTGTACACATCATATGATGACAGGGTCAGTGTGATATGACATCACTACATTTCATCAGACTGTCTGATTTCCACTCAGCTGATTTTTAAAATAGTTGAGATTTTTGAATCCAACACTTGAAAATCAAAACATTCAATAATAGTTTTCTTTGTTTCAGTTCCCAACATGACAGTTAATCCTTTAATATTTGAGGTTTGATGAAATGTTGTCGTGCAGCTCTTTTCTCATAAGAGCAGAACAAGATGGATTTTAATTCACTATAAAGGAGAAATGCATCATCAGCTTCATGAGAGACGAAACCAGCCCCATACTGGTTTTGACACGAAAAACACTGGAAACTATCCAAATGTGTATTAGAGCTTTCAGTGTCGCTTTTCATGCAAGATATTGTAAGCTATCCCAGATGGTTATATATGCTTAGTATGATCAGTAAACGAAGCTTGACCCATCAAGAAGTTAATAAACTACAATGTAAACTCCATGTAACTTTTTGTCCTTCGACAGTTTAACGAACCGATGTTGTCTGGGTAACGATAATGACATAATAAACCAAGAAAGTCATTTATGAAGATAAACCACAATGTTTGTGTTTGGAAGCACAAGTTGTCCACAACACTGCTGTCAACGTGTGTTTGGTCCCCTAAATCTTCACAGTATATGAGCCAAAACTCTCTCTTACATGACTATTATGGATATTCCACAGTGAACACGCAACCTTTCAGAACTGGAACATAAAGAAGATGAAATGTGTTGCTCTCGTGCAAGTCTGGGTGTCTGTACTTCAGCCAAAGATGTTGGCCTGACTGTTTCTCTAGTTCCGAATCAACGTCAAGAGTCACATTCCCCCAGTTATCTTTCCTTAATATATAGTCAATAATTCAAGCCTTATTACCCTGATAGTTTTTGAATCAGGACTTCAGGTCGTTTGAATCACGTAGCTCATTAGAAAAATAAAGTGTATCAGATAAAGAAGGCCCTTAGTTTGTTATTTCAACATATTGGAATCATACATTTCGAAAAGACAACAAGAATGTGGCTGGAAGAACCATGTTAGTTAGTTAGAACCACAATCGTTTTTCATGTACAATTTTTCAACACCATTTCTCAGGAGCAATTTACACTGAATAGAGCAATGTTAAAGCAAGCTGGGGCATCTCTGACATCTTTTGGGAGTTTACAGTTTTTTGTATTTTTGTTCCTTACATGAAACTGCACTTGTATAACCAGCTTTTTTACTCAGTGCAGTCGGTCGATCATCCAAAAGTTACAGACTGGACTGAGTGACTTCACTTGACCTGCTCCAAGAATGCGACTTTTAATAATAATTGATACCTTACCGTTGTCTTAAATCAGAAAAGAAAACCACTTTTTGACTGATGTATGTCCTTGGTGACATCTTGTGTGTTTCTCTCTGCTGGCCACACAGCTGTTCCTTGTAAAATCAGTAACAGAAGAATCCTTCCAAGTGCTTCACAACTCTGTCTGATGTTTTGCTTTATCATGAACATCCTCATCTTCAGACCAGAACTGTCCAAACAGACATCATAGAGAATTATACATGTAGGATAAACTTCTATTTGGTGGTTTAATCTATCTAAGAACAACTAGCAATTATTTCTTGACTAAGATGTCGTGAAAACTAAAATGATCTTGAATATGTTCTATACACTCCCATCCATTGTGTTCTGCCTGGATCTTGTTTTCATATCTTAACTACAATACACACACACACACGTTTTTTTATGCAGCTCTATCGGTTGTGAGCTGTATCCCGTATTACCTGACAGACACTTTCATTATTCATTAACTACTTTGCTACTTTCTGTACTGTCTCCACTCCTTGCTACATAATGCACCCAAGCTGCTGCATGTTGACTACTGCTGTAGAATAACTGATTTAATTACTTATTCGTAGTTTTGTTTTACTGAATGAAATTGATAGCATATATTTAAATTAATAAACCAACCCTTGGTCATCATTGGATACGTGCCTCTTTAAATTAACTTTAAAAAATTATCAAGAATTCTCTGCATCTTCACAGTGAGCTGTCTTTAAAAAGTTGTTTCTTCACATTGTGGTTTTGCAGTAATATACAATTACTGATTTAATCAGTTTATACAAGTTTCTAACCTAAATAAAGAAAGATCGCAAAGAAATCTACTACCACCAGGGTTTTGCAGCGATCCATGTTTAATCATGGGTTATTCATGAAGGTTCTTCTAACGGCAAACAGAAGTCTGTGTGAGTTCTGTTCTATTCCTTTGGAAAAGAAACCACGCACTTTAATTTCATGCAATATTTTCTATTGATGAAAATAAATGTGTTAATCTTGGGGGTAAATTGTTAAAGGACTAATAAATGCCATTGAACGTTATCAGACGACCAGAACGACGCATGTACACAAGTGATTTGGTAGTATGTGAACTGACATCCGATAAACGTAATACGTTGTTAATTAGTAAGATCCAACCTGAATGATTAAGGGACATTATACTGTTAGTTAACCTTTAGAGACTTTGTTTGCTTGCCAGGTGTCAACCATACTCCACCAGAATGCAACCACTTGTGTGTGTAGAACAGTGGAGTCAGTCTGTCCTCCTGGGGTCGGTGGTTGTTTCATAGTGAAAGTGAAACGTATCAGTGAAGAACTGGGGCTGGACTCTTGTTTTTTAGTGTCACTTTAACAATATTTACCCACCAAGATTAACATTTTTCATTCAATAAAAAATATTGCATGAAATTGAAATTGTTGGTTTTCTTTTCAAACAGGAAATAGAGTTAGAACAGCTGCACAGAGTTAGGGAGAACTTGCCTGTCTGCCCGTGCTTAGAAGGACCTTCATTGGAATCAACCCACTGGATTAAACAATGTTTTGACCTGCACAAACTGTGATGAAGGTAGATTCTGTCTGCTAACTCTTCTTGTTATTACCGTAGAACTTGTGACTAAACCTGAATTTAAAATCAAGTAATTAGTAAATATTACTGCAAATCCACAATGTGAAAGAACAAACTGTTTAAAGAAAAACAAAGCGTCACTGTGAAGATGCAAAATTTTGATTTAATTTTTAAGTAAATTTAAGAAGCCACGTCTCCAGAGATGGCCAAGGGATGGTTATAATAAAATATATGCTTATCAATTCATTCAGTAAAACAAGAACTAACATAGATAATAAATCAGTATTCTACAGGCAGTAGTCAACAATGCAGCAGCTTAGAGGTGCAAATTATGTAAGCAAGGGGTGAGTACAGTACAGAGAAGTAGCAAAAGTAGTAATAAATAATGAAAAAGTGTCCTGGTCAGAGTAAAACTGGAAAAGCTCACAACCGATTAAGAGTCTGAATAAAAACAAACGTGTGTGTGTGTGTATTGTAGTTATGGATAATGAAAACAATATCCAGGCAGTAACAAATGGATGGAGAGTGTAGAACATCATCAAGATCATTTTAGTTTTCACGACATCTAGTCAGAAATAAATTGCTAGTTGTTCTTTAGTAAGATTAAACAACAATAGAGTTTTGTATCTACTGTAATAATCTCTATGGTGTGTCTGACAGGTTCTGGTCTGAAGGATGAAGGAGTCATGTATAAGCAACATCAGACAGAGTTTGTGGAAGCACTGAAGAAATTTCTGTACTGCCTTTACAAAGGAACAGCTGTGTGGCAGCAGAGAAACACACAAGGATGTCACCCACAGGACATACATCAGTCAAAAAGGTGGTTTTCTTGGGTTCTGACTTTAAGATCAATACTGTAGGTAATAATTTTATAAAAGATCTCATCGTTGGGCAGGTCCCAGTTTTGAAGTCACTCAGTGCAGGTCTGTAAACTTTTGGATGATGAACCGACTGCACTGAGTAAAAAGCTGGTTAGTTACAAGGTGCACGTTCATGTAAAGGAACAAAAATACAATAAAAACTGTTAAACGTCCAAGATGTTCAAGATGATGCCCCAGCTTGGCTTTAACATTGGGCTCTTTAATTCAGTGTTATTGCTCCCTGAGAAATGGTGTGAAAGTTGTTGTGTCTAAACTAACTAACATGGTTCTTCCACCACATCTTGTTGTCTTTCTAAATGTTGATTCAATATGTGAAATAAACAACTTAAGGCCTTTTATCTGATACACTTTATTTTTAAATGAGGCTACGTGAAATTCAACCACTGAAGGTCCTGATTCAAGAACTATCATGGTAGATAAGCTTGAATTTATTCGATATGAATATTAAGGAAAGATAACTGGGGGAATGTGACTCTTGAACTTGATCGAACTATGAGAAACAGTCAGGCCAACATGCTTTGGCTGAGTACAGCCACAGACTTGCACGAGAGCAAACACATTTCATGTTTCTTTATCCAGGTTCGGAAAGTTGCTGTTCAGCATGTTATTATAGATAAGGCATGTAGAGAGTTTTGCTCTATACTGTGAAGATTAGGGACCAAACACACTGACATCAGTGTTGTGGACAACTGTGCTTCAAAACACAAACATTGTGTGTTTATCTTTCATAAATGACTTTCTTTGTTATATATGTCATTATCGTGTACCCAGACAACATGGGATGGTTTACAACTGTCTGAAGGACAAAAAGTTTACATGTAGTTTACATGTAGTTATGTAACTTCTTGATGGTCCAAGTGTTTACTGATCATATAAGCATAAATATCTGATGCTTAAATATGCTTATGAAGCACTGCAAGCTAATAACATTTGGATAGTTTCAGTGTCGTGTCAAACAGTGGCTGGTTTTGTTTATGAATGCTGATGTGATTTCTCCTTTATATAGTGAATTTAAAATCCATCTTGTTCTGCTCTTATGAAGAAAAGAGCTGCACGACAACTTTTTCATAAACCTCAAATTCATAAGGATTAACTGTCATGTTGGGACTGAAACAAAGAAACTATTATTGGAATTGTTTTGTGTTTTCAAGTGTTGGATTCAAAAAATCTCAATATTTTAAAAAATTAGCTGAGTTGGAAATGCAGACAGTCTGGATGAAATGTTAGTGATGTTCATATCACACTGACGCCTTGTCATCATATGATGTGTACTACTAGTAACTACTTTCCACACATGTGTAATCATTTGTTCTTTGTACAGAACAGCCTCCAAAGACAACTGTTGTGCTCTGGCTGCAGAGAACGAACATTTTCAGGATGGGACATTAACATCTTGTCAACCACACACAACAGGTAAGTGAAGCTTTCACATCCGACATAGACACATCTGGGTTTCTCACAACTGGCAGTGAAATTTGAAGTTTCTATACATTTATAAAGTAAAAAACCGTCCCTCTATCCGTTCCAGATGGTAAATCAGAAACTTCAATGCTGATAAAACCAGGAACTGCTGCAAGTGGATCTGAATGTATGGGAAAGAAAAGTTAAGACGTGATAATAATTGTGATCAGGCGCTGGTATTGCTTTTTAATTAGTGATTGGCTTTGTTTAGTTTCTCATCTGAAGATAAGAAAAACTTCTAGCAGGTAAGATCTGTGGTGCAGTCAAAGAAAATGTTTATTTATGGTTTAATGGATGATGATACTGTTCTGCCAAAGTTCCACTGACGTTGTTGAATTAACGAATGTTTTTCATTTTGTGTTTTTATTATGCTCCTAATAGATGTGGAAGCCCTCCCACACACGAGGTATTGTTGTTACCTCTTCTTTGTGAAACTCTGTGTATGTAAATAGCACTGTGGTAAATGACAATACTTGGTTTATCTCCTAATTCAATTATTTCATCTGTTTTCATTAATATTTCACCAAAGAGAAAGATCACGGAGAACAAGCAGAACCAATGGCACCATTATGACAGAAGAGTAAGACAGGAGTATCATTCTTCCTTACAAGTCCCTCCTGCACATCACTCTGTGAAGGCCTGAACAACTTGTCCAAGAGGTTTCTGCTTTAAGTGAATGTATTCCTGCTACTTCATCCAGCAATACATGACCAGAGCCTGGAGATGAGTCGAGATGTGGAGTGTCAGTTCACTTGCAAGAGTAAGCAATGTTGCTCTAGACCCCAGTTGTATAATCCAGTTGGGTGCTGGCACATTGTCTTTGCAGGGTAACAGAAAATAAACCTACAAAGAGAAACTGAGGCACCCTCTACAGAGCTGCTCGGTCTACAGTCTGGATCAGTGATCTCTCATGAGTAGTTGAATCATCTGCTTTCAACGGGCTGAGCGGCTCGTTGCTACAGACACTTTGGTTTGTATTCTTCATGTCCTCTGTTTCTCACGCTCAGTGGTACATACTGTATATACAGGTTCCTGTACCAATATATATTATATTTTTTAACTCTACACGGTTTGATATGAACAAACGTAGCCTA